TCACATTATTTTACAAAAAATCAAGTTACATCAACGTAAATCCAGGAATCTATGATAGTTTCATTGGATCACTCAATCTTGACGCATTTAGATTGAGTGATCCTAGAAATATGGCGTTATGTTTACGAAGTGCATAATATTTTTATGTCACCTTGAAGGTAACTTTTGGAAATATCTGTACAAATTAATAACACACCATAAATAGTGAAAAAGTTAAGACCAATCAAACCTTTTTTAATTTGCTGAACTGAGTGACCCTTATAAACGCATGTAGATAACTACCTCTTGGTATAAAGTATACAGAAAATACGTTGAAAGTTTGTAAATATTTTGACTAAAATTTGGCATATAATTTATTTGAATACGTCATTTCATTCGCGAGATTTTCGTTTTTAATTTTTTATTACAGAATGAAGTAGTGTAAGTAGGGTAGATATCAACTTTAGCGTTTGACGGACCTTTTGGTTTTATTGAAAACTAAACAAGGATCACTCAATTCAGATGCACATTCTATGGTTCAGTACATTTCCTTTTTTTTATTTGAGAGAAGTTCCTTTCCGGCGTGCATAGCCGGATAATGGGGGATAAACATAGATTAAACAAAAGATATGATTTAATCTAAGTTTGTGTGTGTGTGAGTTATCTGTCGAAAATTTTTCCAAGAGGCTAAAACAAAGCTAAAACACATATTTCGATTTCTCTTACAATTCTGTTAAATAAATAGAAAAGATCTGAATCTTCTTTCTTAGAAAAAAGACGACGAAAGTTTTTTATGCTGCAAATACGATAATGTCAAAGGAATGAAAATAATTAATTGTTTTTTTTTAAGAATGTAACGTTATTTAAAGTAGATTCTAACACAAAAACAAATCCAACATCTTTATTACCACATTATGAGATGACGAAACGAGATGACGCACAAGCTAAGAAGACAGCTAATAATTAGTATAATATATTTTACTTGTACACGTCCAAGTTAAAGGTACAACTTATATGCTTAACATTAAACTTGATATGATTTTTTTTTAAGCATTTAACTACTAGATGTTTAAATCTAAAGAAAAGTTTACTAGTCCGCTGCCTGGTCCGCGTGGATTTTTTTCTAGTAAACTTTTCTTTAGACTTAAACATCTAGTAGTTAAATGCTTAAAAAATAAATAAAATCATAACTATAATTGCTATTTCTTCTTTCAAATGTTTAAACTTGAAAAAGTATTCATTTGACATTGTAGGTTACCTACAATGCGAAGAGATGGCGCTGCCTTGCAGCTTAAGGCTAGGAAAATTTCGACGCGGCTAATAGGGCCGTGGTAGCATAATGGTCAGTGCATTCGCCCGGATAGCGAAGGATGCGGGTTCGAGTCCCGTCCGCTGCCTGGTCCGCGTGCATTTTCTTATAGTAAACTTTTCTTTAGAATTAAACTTGATAGCTGTCCCTTTAAATGTTTTTAATTGATCACATGCTAATCGCTTCGGCCCTCTGTGTACTAAAATCCATTTAAAAACAGTCATACCACGTCATACGTTGATGGTCGTTATCACAGAAAGAAATCAAGATTTTATTTATTTATGTGGTCGTAATATGAGTATGTTTTTACGCAAATGTGGATTGTGGAGTTCCGTAGTTGGTCATCTTAAAACGCAAACATCAAAGTTATAGTAATACTAGCTGACCCAGCGAACTTAGCACCGCCATAAAAATAGGGGCAGGTAGTAGAAGAGAAAATTTAGGGTTGTATGTATTTTTTAATACCACATTATAAAAAAATAAATATTTTCAAAAAAATATTTAGGGGTGGGTAACGTAGTGTTCTATCAATTTCCTGGGACAACATTCCTCCTAACCCATATGAGAACACTACGTTACAATACCCAATAGTTTGAATTTTGGCGCGAAGGCGCATTGTAGGCGCATTCAGAACACTACGTTACAGGTGGACAACCATTATCAATTAAGGATATGAAAAATAGATAGTAGCCGATTCTGAAACCCACGGAATATGCATATAGCATTTCATAAAAATCGGTCCGGCCGTTTCGGAGGAGTATGGTAACTAACATTGTGACACGAGATTTTTATTTAAAAGATAAGTTAGGTATTTACGGGATTGATACCATGTACCTTGTTTTTAGCGAGTTTCCGATATTTCGGCACAGCGCCATGATCAAGGAGTGGTAAAAACAAGGTACATGGTAACAATCTCAGTGACCATGAAAATTTAAAACAATATATCAAAGTTATAGGTAAGCTAAGCATATCAGCCAGGGCACATTTTGACACCATAATCTCCGGTCCTGTAACATTCCCTTGATTAGCTCTGTCGGCCATTCTGTGGCCTGACAGTAAATGGACGAGTTACTATAAAAAACCGGACAAGAGCGAGTCAGACTCACAAACCGAGGGTTCCGTACACTTCCCTTATCGCAAGCACAAAATTGCTACTCGTATCTACAGTCGAGCGCAATTAAACCATGCCACCAATACCCTTAGCACGGACCAATATCGAATTCGAATAGTTTGCGAGTGCCAAATGTCGTTGTCAAATGTGTACTGATTTTTAGTTCTCGTTATGTCCGTTGTGGCGCTGCTGTTCAAGTTTCCATACAAAATTTTGACAATGACATTTCGCACTCGCAAACTATTCGAATTGATACTCCTTGATACACTATTTTTTGAAGTGAAACTTCTTTAGGCACGCTTGACTTCGGGGGTCAACTGGCTTATGGTGTTACGATTTCGCGTTACAATTAGTGTCATCGGTAAACAATGAATAATACCCGTCACAAAATACATGAATCTAATGCTTGGTGGGTGATAACGGACCCAGTGCGGGTTGATAAATGATAACGGACCCAGCGCGGATTGGTGGGTGATAACGGACCCAGAGTGGATTCGCCGTTGATAACGGACCCAGTGCGGATTGGTGGGTGATAACGGACCCAGCGTGGATTGGTGGGTGATAATGGACCCAGTGCGGATTGGAGGGTGATAACGGACCCAGCGCTGATTGGTGGTTTTTTTTTCTATGAACAAATCTTCAGGTTAAGTTTATGATTTTCAGATCATTGGAGCTAAAGAAGTTTCATTTCAGTCGTGTGGTCATAAGCACATTCGCTTTTTTTCAAGAATTATGAAACTTACGACTATCAAAGTTATACCGACAGAAAGTGGTGTTTCATAGTGATTAAAATGAGTAAAAATTTATTCTAAAGTATTGTCAACTTATTGTGAATTCGAAGCTAACAATGCTAACGATTTGCTTACTTTTGAATAAAGTTGCTACTAACGTTCTTTTTAGGGTTCCGTTGTCCGAACACGGAACTCTTATAGTTTCATCATGTCCGTCTGTCTGTCTGTCCGTCCGACGTTTTGCTTGGAGTCTGTTGGCACTACAGAGTTGTAATTTTGTGGAGGTATGTATTATATCAATTACATCGACAAAGTGGTAGAATTAAATAAAGAGATTTTTTTATGGTAGAGTAGAGATGTACAGTGGGGATAATATTTTTTCAATTCCATCGTGTGGGGTAACGTTGAATTGTTCATTTAAAAGGACTTCTTGGTTGCCAAGACTTTTTATCGATTTAGGGATCCTTTTTCGAAATATCAAACTTTATAGTGCTTATTTTAGTTCGAGTACTACCTCCCCCTCCCTCTCCCGCTAACAGCTAAACTGTTAGATTGAAAAATCAGAAAAAAAACCATGATAATAGTGCTATTCATGATTTTTTTAGGAAAATTATAATGGTTAAGATAGATCAGCTTAATTTTAGAGTAAGTCATTCATCGAGGATTTCACACCTACTCCCCGCGAGAAAACAAAAAAAATATGAATGGCTCTAGACATATCCGTGGGCAGACCCGTTTTTGGGTACTTTGGGCAAGTGCCCAGGGCCCCGCGATCGATAGGGGGCCCCCTCAGATCAAATACAAAGTCCCTAGTTCCTGTTAAGTCACCAAACGGAAGTCATAGGGTCCCCAATATCCTAATATGCCCAGGGCCTCGAATAGGTCAAGGACGGCACTGTCCGTGGGTATTTACGGAGCCCTACAGTTCGCGTGGCCACACGAAATTTTTTATAAATATCTAGGTGTACCTACTATTAAAAAAAGTTTTAAGGCAAAGCAATGATTATATTGCAAAACAAATGATATTACGTCTTAACCTCGTGCGATAGTACAGAAGCTTGACCGGTTTTCTTATACATATATAATTAATTTGAATCATTTTGTTACGAATAAACGTACTAACCAACTAATGTTGCGAAAATTGTGCTACCAGCCAGGGAGGATATAAGCAATAAGCATGCTATAACTCAGATTATGTAAACAAAACTAAACAGACAGACAGAAGAATAACATATTTAGTTAGGCCTATTTCTAAAAAGCCAAAACCCTAAACTGAAGGGCAATCTCCCTCAAAGTAATGGATATTTTTTTAAATAAATAGCTAAAAATCACGTAAATTAAACTTTATAAACAAATTATGCAACTTTATAAAGCGGACCGGAAAAAAATAATAAAATCGTCATTTTTTAAAGATAATAAAGAAGAAGTAAACAGTTTTTCTTAATTGTGAGTTTATTACTATTATGACACTAATATTATAAAGACGAAAGTTTATGAGTGTGTATGTTTGTTACTTCTTCACGTCTAAACGGCTGGAGAGATGTTAATAAAATTTGGTATGGAGTTATTAGCTGACACCCTGGATTAAAATATAGACTACGTCTTACTGCGGCAATTATTTATGTGATAATCAGAAACTTGGTTATTAAACTTCCGAGTTAATATAATATTAATTTATATATGACTGATATACACATATATATTATTATTACAAACTGCAAAATTTTTAGGTTAAACAAATTGGGATGTTCCGAATTTATAGGTATTTGTTTACATCAAATTAATTGTTTCTTTATAAAAGACACAGTAGGGGTAGCCAGCAGTACGGATTTCCCTCCAGAATTGGATAATTGGATCGCCCATAGGTGTGGCCACATCCACATGACAGGTTTGATAAGATAATGTAAATAAAATTATACAAAAAATAACTCAATATATTTATAAATGTAGCGGTTAAATACATGACAAAAGTTACAAGTTTTATTTCTTAAGCATGTAACTGCTCGATGTTTAAATCTAAAAAAAATATTACTAGAAATATAATTCCACGCGGACCAGGCAGCAGACGGGACTTGAACATACCTAACACCATATTTTAATACCTAATAGGCTCTATAAAGGAGAACATAGTAAGTATTTTAAAATTTCTCGTCATAACAAACGAATTAAGTGATATGCAAACTAAACAATTACCTCGGCATATTATTACGCGGTATTACAAAAATAATATTTGTGATTACTAACACAAAACGAACTTGGTTCATCGCAATGCCACTTTTTCATAATGCTTACGCTGCAAAAGGCACCGTCTTGCGTTTACGTCTCCCGCCCGCACCAACGTGCTGAACAGACACTTCTAATTATATAAAAACTCAATTCTCGCTGTTAGTTCGTACACTTCAGAGCTGGCACCATGAAGGCTATCTGCCTGTTAATCTGCCTCGCGCTGGCCCGGGATATCTCCGGTAGCATCTTCCAGTACCGCCGACCAGCGAAGAATCCAGAAGTCAGGCGCTACTTCGACGAGTCCAGAGAAAGCGTCAATGAGAAACAGTACCGATCACGCAAGGAACAATTAAACCAGCAGTGGTCTGATGAAGAACAAAGAGTCTACCAGCAACCCCAGTACCAACAGCGCGAAGACTATCCCCAGTCCCAGTATAAGCAGCGCAAGGAATACCAACAGCCCCAGTATAAGCAGCGCAAGGAATACCAACAGCCCCAGTATATATACAGAGAATATTCAGAACCCCAGTTCCAGAATATAGAATATTCAAGATTCCAAGACAAGGCCAAGAATTCAAAACATTCTCTGAATCAGGCTAATCTACCATATCCGAAACCCTCCAGAGGCTACCAACAGCATGAGCTTGTTTTCAAAGACAAAGGTTTCAATCATGAGCAGAAGACGGTTCCAACGGTGACTCGTTATGCTGACTCCGTCTCTGAGTCGAAGGAAAGCGTCTCCAACGAGAACATCGTTAACTTGATGCAATTCCCTGGTGCCGATCAGTTCGCACAGCCCAGATTTGCCGACATGGGCATGGCTTCCCCCGTCTACAGGAGTATGAACCAAGACGTTATGTTCGGCGACGCCGTAGTCTGGAGGGGCATCCAATTAGCTGCAGACCCGAAAAATCTTGTCTCCGAAAAAGACATCAAGAACATCTACATTGAAGCACAGAAAACTTTGAAGCACATCGATCCCGAAACAAAAAACAAGCTCCACAAGACTCTCGATACAGCAATTCAGGCTAATATAGAAGATACCCATCTGAATGCTACAGAGCTATTAAAGAAGCACCAATACCCTGTTGAGGAACACACCATCAAGACTGAAGACGGCTACTTGCTCACTCTATTCCGCATTCCGCCGAAACAGGCTGCCGGTGAAGTCAAACAGAGACCAGTCGTATTCCTGATGCACGGCTTGCTCGGCAGCGCTGATGACTGGCTCCTGATGGGTCCCCAAAAATCCCTGGCTTACATTCTTTGGGACGCCGGCTTCGACGTTTGGCTCGGCAACGGCCGCGGCAACAGATACTCGAAACATGTCAGCCATCACCGCGAGCAAGACGAGTTTTGGCAATACAGCAACGATGAAATCGCACTGTTCGACTTGCCCGCAATGATCGACTATGTCCTCCAGACGTCTAAGCAAGAGAAGATGGTCTTCATTGCCCACTCGCTCGGCACCACGGCTTTCTTCTCGCTCGCAGCCACCAAGCCATCTTACAATGAAAAGATCGTGATGATGTACGCTCTCGCGCCAATGGCATACATGGGCAATGTTCGCAGCCCGATGATTCGCATGATCGCTCCCACCAGCCCGCTGTATGAACGTCTCCATAAGCAACTTGGCCACGGCGAGTTCAAGCCCAACAAGGATTTGATTCACACACTTGGAGGTGAATCGTGCATGAATGAGATCGATTGCAAGCACCTCTGCTCCAACGTGTATGCGGTGATGACCAGCGTGAACGTAGACCACTTAAACACCAGCGTCATACCGATGATCCTGAGTCACTTACCTGCCGGTGCGTCGACCAAGCAGATGATGCATTACGGTCAAGCTGTGGCTTCCCACGAGTTCAGGATGTACGACTACGGAGCTGAGGTCAACCAGAAAGTGTACAATGACATAGTGCCTCCGAAATACGACATGACTGCGGTCACTGCTCCGGTTGCCCTGTACTACAGCGAGTCCGACTGGCTGGCCCACCCCAAGGACGTGAAGAGGTTGGAGAAGGAGCTGCCCAATGTTGTTGACGAATACAAGATTCCCCAGGATTACTTCACACACATGGACTTCCAGTTCTCAAACAAGGCTCTCGAAGTCTACGAAAAATTGATCGCCTCTATCTTGCAAAACTACTCTTATTAGGATAACAAAAATTACTTACTTAAATATTATGTGTACAAATAATAAATTATACTGACCTATGTATATTTAAGTGTATCGCTAATTAATTTATCATAAGATGTATTATTTTTATTTTTTCATTGAATCATAAAGCAAATAAAACCGTCCATTTTTTACTTTAATCTTAGTTTCATTGATTAACTGCCAACATAATAAGGGTCAACTTACATAGACGACAAATATTTTTGTAGGATCTAAGCTTTGAGTATCTATTAAACGGGAATAGCCCGAAGCTCTTCATTACATACAAAAGTTGATCATCATTACTAGGTCAGCAAATCAACTCAAAATCAACAGTATGATGATCTAATAAGCTTTTAAATTAATATACTTTTTAAATCATCGAAATCGGTTCATTCATTGCGATTTTATAACTAACTAGCGGGCCCGCCCTCGCTCCGCTTCGGTGTAGAGCTGAAGTGTAGACTACAGTTTTTGTTCTCAGGCTTGTATTATACACAATGACATTCATCTATGATTCTTCTTATACCTGCATGCAAAGTCTCAGGTTTAAAATTGACAAAGTTTCATACAAACTTTCATTCCCTATTTTATCCCTTTGGGGGTAGAATTGATCAAAATCCTTTCTTAGCCTACGTCATAACATCTACCTGCATGCCAAATTTCAGCCCGATCCGTCCAGTGGTTTGGGCTGTGCGTTGATAGATCACTATGTCAGTCAGTCACCTTTGAGTTTTATATATATAGATTTTATGGTGGAAAAATTCACCGGCGGCCGTCGAAACATGTGACGTCACAGAGCTCGATTGGGGTTCACTCCGGTCGAACTTTAGTAGCGTCTCTACCAATGATATTATATTTATAAACTAGCGGCCGCCCGCGACTTTATCCGCGTTAACTTTTAGTTTTTTTTCTATAATAAACGATTTTTTTGAATGATAAAACTAAATTTTTCAAAAAAATATATTAAAACGGGAGGGCCTTAGTAAGAGTTTTGAAGAGCACCGTGCACTTACTCCTTTTCATATAGTACTTGTGCAATTTGTTTTGAAGATTGTTTCTTGCTGTTTTGGGACTTTGCACTTATTTTTAGTAAATTCGTTAATTGTCTATTGTAACCTATTTGACATTATGTGATGTTTGACCTCAACACATGTTTGCAAGTTTGATGTCAACTTTCAATTTGACGTCACTGTATGCAAAAAAAAGGGAGATAAATGCAGCCCTTGCTGAGTTTCTTGCGGGTTCTTCGATTCGATTTTCACATGTGCTTGTAAAAGCCTAAACTGAATAAATGACTTTTAAATTGAATTTTTACCTAAAAGGTAAAAATGGGACCCTATTACTAACGCGCTCCACTGTCCGTCTACCTGTCTGTCTGTCTGCCACCAGATTGTATCTCATGAACTAATTAAATTTTTAAGGAGTGACCAGTGACCACATAGAAAAATCGCTATTTGCTGTATAAAACAGCGATATAGCCGTTTAATTAAAACTGGCGGCTTCAGCTGTATAAAGAAGCTTTACAGTATTTGTATAAGTGGCTACAGAGCTTTTGTACCTTGAAATTGGGCCAAAATTATACTGCTTATAACTCTACAAGCGTTCTATAGCGGCCGTCCAAACGTTTTAATATGGAGATACAGCTCTTTAAAAGTAAAGGAATATACTTCCTTAGTTTTAAGAAGCTATTATAGCGCGACTTTACAACTTTGCCTCTACATACACCTTTGTACCTTTTTAATGTTCGTTCGTTGCTTCGTTTGGGATGATAATTGGCGTAAAGTGAAAACTTGGCTTTTCCTGATTAATATAGTTACTTTGTGTCCGAGTGTGTATGTATTTTGGATGTATGTATCTATATTCATGTATACAGTTGCTAATAATTTGTATGTGTCTGAGTGTATGTGTGTTTCGATGTATGTACCTATATCCATAAATGCTGTGTCATAACCATGATTGTGTACCTTATACTATGGCAAATTCACCTTCTCAATTTATTTTTTGTATTTTTCGTATACAATAAGTAGATTTTTTACTTTATGTTAACGTCCTAAGCTGTATAGACATATTTGTAATAGATTGCTGTAACCCAACCCATCCCAAGGAGGGGGGACCGGTGCTCTGAAATACAAGCTCGGCTTAGTTCAGACACCGATCTCTCATGACATCAGGTATGCAATGGTACCCATACTACGATTGTTAAATGTCTATATGGATAGACATTATATATATAGGCATATGGATGGCCATATGCCTATAAAAATGTAATTAGTTATTTAAAAAAAAAATGTTGTCGATGCCAAAATGTTGTGACGAGAAATAAACGATTATTATTATTATTATTTAATGTATGTTAACCATAGAACAGAGAAAAAGGTTAGAAGGGTGATGGTTTGACGTTTGTGCGGGAACCGGTGTCGCCGCCTCGCCCCCACTACACTTCCACCTAATAGATAATAGCCAATCAAACGACGCGACTTCAAACAATCGAACCAATCAGCGCTCACACCCGAGAGCAAAGACGCAATCAGAACCAAGTTTCGGTAAAGTTATGAGCATTTGCTCACACATAACTGTGGCGCGCCTGCCCCGCCCACAAGGCTCTTCTAACCTCTTTCTGTGTTCCGTGATGTTAACCATGTTTAATGAAACAACAACTTGTTTTAAAACAAAAGTTTTATGTGAAGAGTGCCAAATAAAAAATTACAAGAAATTTAGAACATAGTAAATTAGACATAGTACCTACATTAGAACATAGTATAATTATAGCGCGATTACACTTGGTCGTTAGCTCGAGAATTCGGATAAATGGCTAAGGCTCGTATTACAGAATGACAAGTAAGTATTGATCTTTACATGAGTACAGTTAGGCCCGTATCATAGAAAGATCCTCAATGACTGATCTAGTCTTGAGCATAGTTAGAAAGGGATGTATAGCACATAGCGATATCCCTTTCTAACTGTACTCGAGTAAAGATCAAAGTTGTCATTCTGTAATACTGGCCTTAGAAAGGGATGTCGCTATGTGCTGTATATAGCATTATCTTTTTTACTATGCTTTTCTCGAGTATCTTTCTATAATACGGGCCTAAGTGTAAATGAACGGAGTCGAGTACGCCCGTAATGGGGTAGATTTCCTTTTGTTTACCTGACACCGTCTTCCAGCCCGTATACCAGTGTAAATATTGCTTAGGGTGCCCGAATTCGACGACCTCCGTGGCCGAGTGGTTTGTACGCCGGGTCTCATGGCTGTCGCCGACTCGAGAGGTCCCGGGTTCGAATCCCGGTGGGGGCAGATGTTTGTGTGATGAATACGAGCATTTGTACTCCAGTCATGGATGTTTAATATGTATTTATATAAATATACTTATATATGTACAGTATATGTATTCTATCCGTTACCCTAGCATCCCATAACACAAGCCTTATAGTGCTTACTTTGGGGCTAGGCTAATTGGTGTGAGTGTCGAAAAAAAAACAAAAAAAGAATTCGAGTAATGTCTTTCGTGCACCCGAAAACGGGCTAACGACCAAATGTAATTGCGGCATTACTGTGTTTTCATATTACGTATTATAATAAAACTTATACATAAGTTTGTATATTCACAGTAATCTGGCGAAGAAGAAGTGAAATATTAGGGCGAGTGCCAGATTACTGTGAATATTATAGGTACAGTAAAAGCTCCTTATTCGCGCTTCGTTAATTCGCGTTTTCACTATTCGCGGATCAAAAAATTGCGACCAAATCTTATATTCGCGGCTAATAATTTAATTATTCGCGGATGTAATCGGTGTGTATAAACACATATATTATGTTAAAGCCAATACAATTAGGGAATGAACTCCACTCCACTCAGTATTATAACATGGTCCTATTCAAGAGAGGCTTAAATAGAGTGTTTCACGAAAGGCAGCACAATGGCTGTATCACTGGCATTGCTAATGCCCATGGGCACATAGGTGGCCCGTCCGCTCGTCTACCTTCTACACTGCCGGATTTAGGGGAGGGCAACCGGGACGAAAGCCCCGGGGCCTCCACAAACGGGGGGCCCCCACAATAGAGACTTGAGAAAAAAAAACTTTCAAATTCCAACTAGTAAACATCTTTTCCTGTGATTTTTTTTTTGCTCTTTTACCTTTACCTACAGCCTACAGTACTTTGTACATCTAACATACATGATTATTTGATTATATTAATCTTAAATAACAGAAATCATTGATCTATATTTGTTCACTCCAATCAGGCAATCAGTGAAATATCAAAGTCTCAAATGGCCCTGATAAGCACTTCCAATTCACTACCCATCTTGAGGGAGTACCCCAATCGCTTAACGGCTGAGTGGGGTGGTACTTGCCCGCAGGGCCGAATTTAAGGCAGGGTAGGTAGGGCTGTGGCCCAGGGGCCTCCACAACAGCTTAAGAAATAACAACATTTCGATGGGTTAACAAGAATACAAATCCTAAGTGGCCCGGGGCCTCCACAATCCTAAATCCGGCCCTGACCTTCTAAGGCATTAAAAAATCATTAGCAAAACTTTGAAATCATGCTGGAAAAAACTGTGAGCTGTTCTGACTGCAGAAAATCGGTACAAATTCAAACTTTAACTTGTACCGTGAAATTTAATTTGGGAAATCTAAGTAAATTGACCCAAATATAGAACGAAGGCCACTGAATAATCAATGTGAATTGAAAGAGCTTCTAAAAACTACGAAACAAAAAAAAATATTAAGCCCTTGCCAAAGCCTAATGATTTTAATAATTCATGAATATTATAAAAATGGTTTTTATTTTGCAATCTAGGAACATATACGCTATAACCCCATACAAATTACCATTCTATATTCACAGTTTCTATATTCGTGGCATATTTACGGAACATATATCCCGCGAATAAGCTTTGCTCTATCAGTTTTATTGAAATTCTTCAGGCGCCTGCAAAATATGCACATAATAACAATTATTTAACAGTTATTGCTAATGGAATATTAGGTTATTATATTTTTTTATGATAAAAGTGCTCAGTCGTGGTTTTATATGCTTCTTATTGGATAGTAGTAGTTTGTTATGTAGTTTACAGTATTTGCTCAATTACATTTGGTCGTTAGTCCGTATTCGTATGCACGAAAGACATTACTCGAATTGTGGCACCCGAAGCAATATTTACACTGGAATATGGGCTGGGAAACGGTCTCGGGTAACCAACACGAAAACTACCCAAATACGGGCGTATTCGGCTCCGTACATTCACACTTAGTCGTTTACCCGAAATCCATTGGCAAATCGGGCTAACGACCAAGAAGCCCGGACATGTCCGGATAAATCCGGACGAATGGTTCCCTACGCCTGTAAGTGTAGCCCATGCAACAAAAACAAAAAAAAACGAAAACCTTGTATTTGCTCCATGTCGTAGCCGTTAACTTAATAATAATATTCTGATTACATATAATTATATGTATTAATTATTAAAAACATAAACATGCTGTCAACAAAACTGCAAAATCTAGTAAACCGGGCATGAAAACCTACTTCCTTGTCTAGGTCGGTAAAAATAGATGCTCTACTTTTTCTAATGTTACAAGAAAATTCAAATAGATGGCGCAAGTATATTTGTAAACTAAAGGCCGTTTGACATTTGAAACCAGCCCACGCTTTGTTTTGACATTTTGTACTTCCTTTCATTCCTAAAAGCGTTGCTGTGCAAGCGAAATAGCAAATATGAATTAGCCTGAGTAAGAAAGAGACAGCAGCGCGACGGCGCTCTAGGTTCCCGCCGTCCCCTATACGTCAGTTCGTTCGGTTCCGTTTGCTGTGCGTAGTTTATCAGCATTATTATTGTTTTCGTCGCTGTCAGTATAATTGATATCAAATTATAAACATTTAGTAAGTTCCTACATTTTACAAGTGACTCGGTGAAGAATATTTATGTTCGCATGGATTAAGTAACGATGTTACCTCCTACGGCCGGTGTAGCCCAAGAACAACGCGACCGGCCCGACATGGCGGCTTTCCAGCCTCGTAGAGACGTTCGAGCACTGACCCGCGACATTATAAGAGATGCTAGAGTAGTTAGCAGACAGGAATCAACATCCCCTGGAGGTAAGCAAGCCGGTTCAAAACGACGCCACGTTTTTGCTATGGTACCTATGTCATTTTGACATGATGTGTCAAGGTGACATTTATACAAAAACAACGCCTTCCGAAGTAAAAATTATAAACAGAAAATGAATAATTTCCCATTACGGCTATGTGGTAATAATTTGCAATGGTATTTAGGCCTGTTACGTCATCGAGGAACGCGATCTTGCAAAAGTAAAATGGCGCCAACGCGACTCGTTGCTTAATTAAAACAAGGCGTCTTTTCCTTTGTTATAGTGCTTAAAAGTATTGTAAGTGCTGTTAATTTTGTTCCTTTATTCGTAAAACATTCGCTAAGAAAGTGTGAGTGCAAAGATAGGCAGAATACTATGTACCCAGGTATGTATCCATTTGTGTGTCATTTGGCACGTGTTGAGGTTATTTTTAGACTACCACTGTGATACTAATCAGACTTGGAATCTAATGTTTCATTAATTTCTAACATAATCGAACTTATTTAGGTATTTATGTTTGAAGTATTGTTTGTTTGTTGTTGTCCTTTTGACTTTTGTAAAATGTCTTTATGACAGGCAAATGTCACTGGTCACAAATGGTCAAAATGCTCAAGATGGCTGACAGAAATCACGCGCTACGTTAGGTGGCGTTCAGTCATTTTGTTGTTATCCCTATTGTATTGCTATTGTGCTAATAAGTATGAACCAGCCAGCACCATATTCCATGGAAACATTACACATGAATGCTTCATTTAAAAAATCAAACAATTGATAACACTTTGAGACACTACGAACGAAAATATGTAGATATTGTATAGAAATAACATTGAACCAAGTGAAAGTTTACCTATATTATTAAATGCAGTATCTACTTGGAGGAGATCTAAAGTGTTTTAATCACATAACCCAAATATCAGTTTGTAATCCGAAGATAACACAAAACACTATTTATCGAACTAATAATCTTAATTTATTATTAAGTAAAATATTGTTATAACTTAGTGGGCTCATACTACTTTGCGTAAAGTTATTAATTTCACTTAAAAATTTGATCTTCTATTTCACCCTTTAGATTCTTATTTTCCTGTTACAAAGTAGTCTCTTAAACTCTCCGAGGTCTCATTTTTTACCAAAATATAGCAAAATCTGCTTAGCAATTTAGTCATGAAAGATTAATTGACAGAGAAACAAAATTATCTAAATATTAGTTTGACAGAAGGTCAAAATTACTAATTTCGCACTATTAGCAAAAGTTTTCATCACAGATAGGGGTTCTTTATGATTTGATGAATACATCATAATAACATCTAATACCAGCAATTTCTGCTTCTCATGTAGCTTAACATAGCTGTCTCATGTAACACATAGATAATTATTTTATATGTATGGCTTTATGTTGGATATATTATTAAAATGCTAGTCTCAAAATAATGGCTTAAAAAGCACCACAATTCATCTAAGTATAAAATATCCTATCCTACTACCTACTAATATTATAGATGTGAAAGTTTGTATATTTGTTACTCAATCATGCAAAAACTACTGAATGGATTTGGATGATATTTGGTGTACATATAGTTTATGACCTGGATTGAGACAAAGAACACAGAAAAGTGTCAGGACCCTGAGGGATTTTCAAAGACTAAAGTTATTGCAGGAAAACACATGCGGCCGCTAGTTCCTACAATAATAATTTGGAAGCATTTGTTTGTATTGGGAACAAGTTAATGTGTACACAGATTGCAAAGAAATTCAGAGACACCATCAGCCCCCTTCATTGAACTGTCTAATATTATTAATAAGCCCTTCAGTCTGATATTTAAAAAACATTACATCTCCAGGTCTGTATTGTTGAAGTCCATATTTAATTTTTGAATGCAGAGGTTTCCTCAAATGCTAAGTATAATCTATAACCACACCCAAGTTCATCAAAATAAGTTCATCACTCAATGCATGGAATTGTTACACACAGACAGACCTAAGTACATTAACTTTAATGGAGGATACTCAGCAAACAAGCATTCTTTTGTGGAAAGTTTAGCTCAATATAACTCACGCAGCACAGTGGATCTTTGTTATAGGTTTTGATTTGTAAGAATAGCTTGCCCTCTCAAATATAGATGAAAAAGTTCTGTATAAGTTTTGGTTAGGTTATGTTAGGCATATTGATAGAATGAAAACCTCTAAATAAATTAAGAACAAAAAAAGTCCCGTCACTCATTGTCCAAAATAGAAGATTTGTTTATCATAAATTATTTTTAACAAAAGACTATAAGTAAGAAACAATGCAATATTGAATTTCAATACCTAACAATGTCCATGTTTGCAACTCGAGTAAACAACATTGACACTGAAGGTCAGCATACTCATATAAAATGCTGAATATCTGAAAACCGTTTGAAAAGCCATTTGACTGTGAATACCTAAATGTAAAAAAATGCAAGACAAAGTAGGTATTATGCTTTGTTTTGGTCATGCCAATGTAATAAATAGTACAGATTTTTTTTAAGAGAATAGATTAAAATTTACCAGTCTGCCCCCCTCTTTTCTCCGAAACTACTTCGTATAAAATCTTATAGATTACAGGAAAACCAATAAGAAGTTAATAGTACCTAATTAAAATAACATAAATATCTAAAGGTACTGTCCCACGATGTGTGTTGTCGCGGACGCGCCGCGCAGGGTTGCCAAACGTATGCGAACTCGTAACGTTTGAGATTTAGCAGTCTTTTTACATGATACAAGGTAAATAGAAAACCCTACTGGTACACTTTGTGATGGCATAATGAAGCTGTACGTACTGAGTCGATCCATTGTGGACTGGAAATTTATTTACTTTCTGATAATACAGTCAAAACCGAATATAGTGACATTGTTTATAACGACGTGTTGGTTATTACGACCAATTGGCAAGGTCCCGACCGAAACCCTATATAAACCCTTAAGTAAACAAACTGTCTATAAGTGGCGTCCGTAAATTACGTGAGGTGTTTTTTGAATTTTCTGTCCCTCCCTCCCCCCTGGTGAGATGTCGGGAGATTTTATTCAACCCCCTCCCCCATCCCCCAATCTCACGTGAGATTTTTCAAAATGTGGGTTTTTTATGTATCCGCGTTGTATTGCTATTGTAAAAAGGACAAAAAATGCTTCTTGCCTTTATTTACGACTAGTTAAGACTACCTGTCCTTGTGTCGCTGCCACTCAGCTCGTACGCTCTCGTTCATCGAGTCGCACGTTCGGCTGACAGTGGCACGAAAACAAAGGACGGGCTACACTGTACCGTAAATTTAGGTTAAATGTGCTATGATTAATGAGCTATTTGGTGTAAAACAAATATGGTGGTTTGACAGTTAGTAGATGTATAACGTCGAAGTATGAATGAAATTATTTTCTTTCGAACGAAATTAGTGAATTATTTTAATCGTATTACGATTACGCTTAAGGTTAAATCTTAAGCATGTACAATATGGATTAAATGGACTAAAATAGTATATTTTTTTTTAGTTTCAATCAGAAAAAAAATACGTGATATTTGCGGAGACCCCCCCCTCTCCAACGTAAGATTAGTTGACTCCCCCCCTTAAACATCTCACGTAATTTATCGACACCTCCTCACAACACCGGATATTGCGAAATATCGCTTAAAACGACTTATAGCAAATGAATATTGATTTAAGTTATATCGATATTCATCGGCTATAACGACCAACCGTTTTACTTGTTCCAGCAAAACAAAATACTTTATTTAAAAACAGGCTTATATTCATTATCTATAACCATACAATTATAGATACAGATATATAACAATAACATGACTACTTGTGTATATTGCTTATAACAACTATCGGTCATAACATAACGTTCGAAGTTATATGGTCCCTTCAATGTCGCTATATGCGGTTTTGACTGTATTTTGGTTTGTGTACATGACACCAACAGTCAACATTGTTCAAATCTCATATCAAAGTGTACGAGGTTTCGATTTATCTCGTATCATGTATAGCGACTGCTAAATCTCACGCGTTTGAGTTCTCATACGTTTGGCAACCCTGCGCTGCGTGTACTCGCCCGCGACAACACACATTGTAGGATAGCACCTTTACATACAAAAATAATGAACTGATACCCGAAAAGTTTTTGGTGACTTGGTAAATACAAAGATTGATGATTGGTAAAGTGTCGCTGTTCGCTAACGTCGGAAAGAATTTGGCATGCCCTCCCTGAGCCCTTGGTTGCGTCACCGCGGCCGCGGGCGCTGACCCCAATCCCGATCGATGCACATTGCATGCATTGCACCCCTACCACAAAATAAATAGTACAGAAGGCAACCTAAATAAAAAGTGCGCTCGAGCAACGTATAATGAGATTCAAATAAGAATAGGAAAACCAATGACCTCCATCTGCCAAATGTCGCTTGAAAAGTACGGTTTGCAAAAAAAACTTGAAATCTTTTTTAGCACAGATCTAATTCTAGAATAACAATCAAACATTTGTAAACAAACAATAACAAGTATTGATAATTAATATTTGTTGATATATTTTTTTTTTTCATTTATTGAGCTTTGGCTATGAATGCTTGATAACCTAAATCGTCAACCAAATGTCATTTTAAGTTGCGTTCAGAAACTCGATTTGAAACTTTCGTTTACATAAAGGATGCATGTTCGTATGTGACCTAGTAATAGTGCATGATTATCCATAACTGAGGGGTCTACTTTCAAAATCCACTAAAATCTTTTTCATTAAATATAAGCTAGCAAAAAAAAACACCTCATTTTAAATAAAAGGTCAGTTCAATTAAAGTAAGCATCATAAATTTTTAATTTGTGCTTTATAAACTCTTTTAACATGATTTACCAAGGAAAACATGGATTTTAACTGATAAAGTGCTAAAAGAATTTTGTTTTTAGTGGATTTTGATGAGAACCTTTGATTATAGCGGGATTTGCAACGACTATTGTAAATTTTGGCGGGTTTTGATTTGAATAGATTTTGAGGTATGGATGGTTTTATCCTACATGCACGAATTAAAATAATCTACTGTGTAGATATTCTTATGTAAATATTAAAGTTAGGGTTTGTTAAAATATATTTTTGGTACTATCTGGTACTATCTGGTAGAAACCCATAATAACAAACAAGGATTTTTTTATCAAACATAAATTTAAAAAAAATCATAGGTACATACATTTAAACTTGCAAATTAACTTCTATCCCAACATGCTCACACATATTTTCTTCATCAACTACTTTTTTTATGAAGTAATTCAACATAATTAATGCACGTGCGTTTGATAATTTTTGAAGAAATAATATTTTCACAACACATGAAGAAATGTATTAATATGCCCCCTAGCTTTGCAAACTTCAATGTTTTAAAACAACACAATTTTATTAATTGGTGCCATGTACTGTGTTGGATCCTACGCCTTTACCCATCATCGCATCATTCTGCATAACACCTTTTAACAGACATCACCAAGTTGTTCACGTGATTTGAATCCTGTGCTGTGATTGGTCCGCGTATTTTTGGTGGATTATAGTGGAGTTTGCAACGAATACGAATTTTAGATCACTGTTTTTTTATAGAATTAAGTGGATTTTGCAGCTAAATATTTCGAGGATATGAATAATAAATATTCAGAAATATTTTGGAAGACTTAACTATTTTTTTGTCAAAAACCGTTTTAGCGGGTTTTGAAAGTAGACTCCTCAACTACTCTGGTGGTAATGCAGAGATGAGCGGAATTTAAGAGCTTAATTCTGATTAATGTTTTTTCTCACACAATCTTAATAAATAAATATTATTAAAAATCGGTAGTTTTCTTTTCTCAATCTCAGTAAATAAATTTTATTAAAAAAACTGATGTTATATCTCACTTAATCTTAGAAAATAAGTTTTATTAAATAAAAACTTTTTTTTGCTCACTCTACCTATTTCGTTTGAATTGACAGCTATGACGTCACAATATGGCGCCCAGTCAGTCCTATTCTTAGTTGAATCGCATTATACACATAGACACCGCTCACGGACACGATATCTCGAACCGCTTGTGACCATGCGAAATCGAGTTCAATTCGTTTGAGACACGCGTCTGTGGATTTTTTTTTTGTGCAATTACGGAGTAGAAAAGAAAACTTATTATAAATAATTCAGTGGACGATTTTTTAAATTCAACATTAGAATGAATGAAGTACGAAACCGGAATATATGGAAATATAAACCACGAAAATACACGCTGGTTTATATTTTCATTGTTCGGGTTTCATTCTAAACAATAAATATATACGAGTGCCACTACCACGACAAAAACTGATATTTGTACATGATTACCTTCTATACTATCGTTTTAGTGTCCCTACCCGACCTAAGTACGTATTTGCACTGCAAAAATGCATCTCACCGAGCGAAAGGTCAACGACCGATTGGTTATTTATATCATTGTTTTGAATTTTATCGAATTGACCTACTTGTCGCTAAGTATAAGATTCTACAAGAGATTGTAAATTACTCATTCATTCATTCATTACTGATATCTACCTAAATAAATTATATGCGTAAATCTTTATATATATAATTCTTCTGTGAGTGTGTATGTCACTGAACTTCTCTTAAACGACTGGACCGATTTTGATGAAATTTTTTGTGTGTGTTCAAGGGGATCTGAGAATGGTTTAGATTCACAATTTTGTCCGCTGGACAATGTTTTTTTAATTAAATTTTTTTATGGCGGTACGAAGTTCGCTGGGTCAGCTAGTCTATATATAAAACTCAAAGGTGACTGACTGACATAGTGATCTATCAACGCACAGCCCAAACCACTGGACGGATCGGGCTAAAATTTGGCATGCAGGTAGATGTTATGACGTAGGCATCCGCTAAGAAAGGATTTTGATCAATTCTAACCCCCAAGGGGATAAAATAGGGAATGAAAGTTTTTATGAAACTTTGTCAACTTTAAACCGATCGGGCTGAGACTTTGCATGCAGGTATAAGAAGAATCATAGATGAATGTCATTGTGTATAATACAAGCCTGAGAACAAAAACTGTAGTCTACACTTCAGCTCTACACCGAAGCGAAGCGAGGGCGGGCCACTAGTCGTAAATATATGAGTAAAGTAATTCAGTACTGATAATATGTTTCTAAGCTAACTATGAAATATAATAGATTTTTCATGATATTTATGAATTATTATTATTTATTATTTATGAATATTTTTTAAATATGATGATGTTGGACATTAATACTAGGTTTACGAATCCCTTCTAGTTAAATTAAATACCTACTAGAAACTTAATATATTCTTAGATAAAAGTGGCATGATGCATACAATGATGCATGATGCTCACAATATGGCCGTGTATTTATGTCAGTCAGTTACCAAAAAGTAGATGAGTATAAGAAAATTATGAGATTTTTAAAATACTTGTACTGACTGACCGAATAAATGGATCAACATCAGACTATTAATGTCCCCACTGCTGGGGCACAGACCTTTCCTATTGCATGATTCACCAAGCGGGCCCAGATTGGTGGATACTAACGACTGCAGACGCAGCCGGGACCAACGGCTTAACTTGCCTAATTTTTTGGTCACCCATCTAAGGACACACTGCGATAAAGTTGCTTTTTTTAGTATAGAAAGGTCCGAAATGACTCCACCCCACCTGATGTTAAGTGAAGGTGAAGTCCAGATGCGAAGATAGCTGATACAGCAGTTCTACCTGCCACATCAGCCATCCTCACTCTGCCGGCCTGCATGTTGCTTCTTCACGCCTCTTTGAAGGGATCCCAGGTTGTAAGAGGGAACAGAGGAGAGCGCGCGTGGTCCTCTGAAGGAAAGGGGAAGATGGAATAAGAGAGAATAACTCCTCAGAACACTCGCCGTGGTACAGACGAGAGAACGCGCTTAGTGACTCCACGTCATGGCGTAATTGAAGAAGCTCAAGGTGTTTAGTCACCCCTCATCGCCTATGATGCGGATCGCGCGCCGCTGTAACCTATCCAAAGCATCGAGCAAGTACTTGGCGGAGCTATCCCAGAGGTGCGAGCAATATTCCACGCAGGACCGAACTTGCGTTTTGAACAGCAACAGCACAGTTGATCGGGCGTGAAAAAACGCCGCACCTTGTTCAGGACTCCGAGTTTACGTGAAACTGTTTTGAACACGGTTTCGATGTAGTCCTTTGGATTCAGGTCTGAGCGAACTTCCATACCGAGCATGGAAATGTTGCTCTGTAGCGCCAGTGTTGTGCCCTGAAGAGGGAAGGGGAAGAAATGGCGATGTTTTTGCCGTGAAAGCGCAAGCCTGAGTTATTTTTGGCATTGAACTCAACCAAGTTCCTGGTACCCCATTCGGAAATGTGGTCCAAAGCCTGATGGAGTTCAATGACAAGATTTTCCCGTTTCTCCTTGGTTACCGCCTGCCCAGCCGCTGCTTTTCCGAGATACCTCGTATGCACTGTACTATCGTCTGTATAGCAATGAATATTCCCAAGAGGAACTAAGTCATTGATATGCAGCAGAAAGAGAGTGGAGGATAGGACGGAGCCCTGGGGAACGCCGGCATTTACTGACATGAACCGCGAACTGCTACCATCCGTAAGGACACGAATTCTACGCTCATGCAGGAAGTCAGCTACCCAAGAACAGTACTGGGCCGGCAGACCGTATGCCGGAAGCTTGGAGAGAAGGCTTTTGTGCCAGACCCTTTCGAACGCCTTGGCAATGTCGAGGCTGATAGCCAACGACTCGCCACGTTTGTCGATAGCCTACCCCAGATATGAGTCAAGTACGCTAGAAGATCACCCGTCGATCGTTTCGGTCTAAAACCATATTGACGATCATAAATCAGGGAGTGATCCTCTAGGTAGCGGGTCAGGTTAAGGACCTTTTCTAGAACTTTACATAATACTGAGGTGACAGCTATTGGCCGGTCTGAGCGATCCCCTTTTTTGGGCACCGGTTGCACATTAGCATCTCTCCAAGTCTCCGACAGACGCCCCAAAGAATGAAGCTTAATTTAAACTATCGCAGCCGAACACGCAAACCACTTGCGCCATTGAGATTCTCAGTCAGCCTCAGTTAATGGATACTCGGCCTTATTTTGAGATTTTCTCAGTTGCTTACACACAGTTATCAGTGAGGATTATCGTGTATGCTCGACCCGATTTTTTTGTTGACACATGAAAATATAAACGATGTAACGGGTCATCAGTTTTGTTTGTTTAACAACGCTTGTGACATGCAAACACGTTTGTTAGCACTTCTATACGAGAATATATTGTATTCAGACACGTCTTTATTATTGCAAGAAAAATTAGCAGTCAACAACACATCAAGTTGACACAAAGTAACGAAAATTTTCTCAATCGATTCTGAATTAGGGAGGGCAGGTTTTTTCCCATACAAATGTTCTCGCCAGCTTTGTTTTTTATTTTTTATTACAACAAAAAATTCATTCATAAAATATAATTTTACTTATTCTATGCTCCTAGGTATGTCTTTCTTTTTTCGATAACTTGTGTTTCAAAGAAACTACAAGCTTTCAAAATTTCCAAAAATAAACAAATTTTATCACCATTAAAGACGTCTAGTGTGGAGATGCAATATGTATTTACAAAAAAAAAGAAAAACATAAAAGCCTAATATAACTACTTATTATTCTATGGGTTTAATTTCTTTAACATAATATATCTTATTTTCGAGGAGGAAATCGTCGAGAGTCAAACCCCGAATATTGCAATTGTTATATGCAATTTTCAGCGTTAGCTACTGTTGTCCCGTCGCACGGTATTTGCGAATGCGCGACAGCAATAGTTTTTTCAAATACTATTTCTCAAATGCCTCTCAGCTCGCGTCCCGCTCTTAATGACAAGTAATATAACGCTCAAAATAATAACTGATGGGTTATTTTTTCAACCATTCTAACTTGATCTCTCTCTCTCTCGCTCTCTAAATGAAATGTATCTATAGAAAGTATATTATCACCCGCGCTATTGAAGAAAGGAATCGAAAATGACAATGCAAACACTGTCCTTGTTGCACGTTACTTCTGACAGGATGATTAACTGTCTTTTTGTGTACAGCACGGCTACGCTTCCCATCAACTTCTTCGACGGACGATAATGAGAGTGGAACAGATGGCGAGGCGGACCGGTCTCGACGCGCGAGCCTCATGCACGGGCACGGCGCTCCGCCGCCTGGCCTTGTGGCGGTGCGCAAGCGACGTGGAAATCTGCCCAAACATTCCGTCAAGATACTCAAGCGGTGGCTGTTTGACCACAGGTGAGTACCGACCGCTTCCCAATGTCATCGATAGGTCGAGAGTGCACAGATGGTAACCTGCCCTAACATTCCGTCAAGATACTCAAGCGGTGGCTGTTTGACCACAGGTGAGTACCGACCGCTTCCCAATTATATCGATAGGTCGAGAGTGCACAGATGGTAACCTGCCCTAACATTCCGTCAAGATACTCAAGCGGTGGCTGTTTGACCACAGGTGGGTACCGACCGCTTCCCAATGACATCGATAGGTCGAGAGTGCACAGATGGTAACCTGTCCTAACATTCCGTCAGGATACTCAAGCGGCTGGCTGTTTGACCACAGGTTAGTACCGACCGCTTCCCAATGACATCGATAGGTCGAGAGTAGCACAGATGGCGAGGTCATCCGGTCGCAGCGCGGCAACCAACGACAACAGGCACGAAGCACCAGTAAAGAACGGCAAGCAGCTATGATTTTTTCATCTGTTTAATCAAGGGCATCAAAGCCAAGTAGTACTACTGTACTTACTTACCCTTGATTAAACAGAAAAAAAAATTATAGCTGCTTGCCGTCCTTTACTGGTGCTTACTTCGTGCCTGTTGTCGTAGTAGCGGTGCTTATGACACAAGTCCATTCTCTAATGTTTCCTCTACCAATTATAGTGTTATTACAGAATATCGTTAGCACATAATATAGTCTTTGGTTTCTTATCACCAGGCCGTAAGGTTGTTTGCCGCTATTCGTACATAGATAAAATGATTTGTTATGAACAAAAATACCGAGTTTCGGTTTATTTTGGGCAAATAGAAAATTATCTTATAATCTCAGTAGGTCATCTTGTTGGAAAACCTAGAAAGATTAGGTAGGCTCAGTGTCGGTTGGTGGCGTATGACCATAGAAGTTCTTTACTAAATGTATTCCTATCTTAGATTAAAACAAAAAGCGAAGATACGGCACTCGCGGCTCAGAAATGAGCCGCTTAAATTGTGTTGAATGACCACAATTCGCTTTAGTCACAATTGGACATTCAAACACGATGCATGTGCACTCAATATAACAATATTGTGTATATTCTGTGTTATAAAGATAAAACAATGCCTTTATAAAGAACACAAATAGTTCAAAATTAAATAACAAATGCCTCGGCAACACATTTAATTCGTAAAACTGTAAAAAAAAATCGCAAAAATCACGGTTTGTCGTGAATGTTATTTACGTAATCGCCATTTTGTTATCAATAAAAGGACGCAGACTCGCCATTAAAAAAAAATGCTAGTATGAGCATACCGTTTCTTCCCTTTTTGTTTTAGTCTAAGATTTCTATGTTCTTAAATTCTATTTCTAATTTATCCTACATTGCTTAATACATTGTTGTTATTTTACAGATACAACGCGTACCCTAGCGACGCTGAAAAACTAACGCTCAGTCAAGAGGCTAATTTAACAGTCTTGCAAGTACGTAAAAAAATATTACATAATTATATTCTTAATCGCTTCTTATCGCAAATGCCAAATTTCCCTACCTAATGATATTAGGATAAAGGAAGAAAACAACCGATCTTGTTGAATGCATGATGAGCATTGATTTATTATGTAAAGTATGTGTTTTTATATAGTTAATACAATGACGTATTATGATGCATTTCTTAGATACAGCTTAGTGATTAAAGTAGGTTATGCTTGCTCCGCAGATATACAAGATTACTGTACGTGTGTCGTACACTCTAAATCCGAAATTTGATGAAAAAAAAATATTATTACACATTTAAACTTCACTTGACTATTCGTATCTGCTATTTGTAAACTTGACATTAGTCTGTCCTTCTCATGCTTTTTTATGGTATGAAAAGGACAGACTGATGTTAATTTTGTAAATAGCAAACACTTATAGTCAAATGAAGTGCTGGCATTAGGCGTGAAAGCGTAACAAACAGAGGTACGCTTGCTGTTACATAATATTTGTATTGTTTTATATTTAATTTAAACATTGCACTGTAGATAATAAAATCAAAAGAATAATTTCGACACTCTACTCTATTAAAGTACTTTTCAATCGACGAAGAAAACGGAGGAGGTTATCAATTCGACGCGTATATATTTTTTTGTGATCATACATAAAAAAATATACAACAAACGTTACACTGGTGATATTATAAATCGATTTTTTTTTGGTATGATCATGCATAACTTTTGACAGTGTAGTCCTCTTTTGATAATTCTTCTCTTATTGGAAGGGTATACTCTGAAATAGGTCCCAAATGAATTTTAAAAAAAAACGACCCTAAGGGTGGTAAAACAGGGGATGACTGATTATTCACTCACTGATTGTAATTTATGTATAATGACACGAGTAGTCCGATTTTGATGTTTTTTTTTTCAATTCAATAATGATATCCATTATTGAATTGAAAGGTAATATTTGGAGCCGGTGCCCTGCATGTTTTATATATCCGAGTTCCCTTTTACTACTTGGCATGACACCGACTCCAAATATGAATTTGAATAAAGATAAAAAAAGGTTTATTTATTATTTTCTGCTTTTCGGCGGTTTAGTTTTTTTGTTGAAAAGTTTTTATTTTGTAAATAATCATTCAATGGAATGTTTTTAAATTCATTGACTCTCAACTGTTGAATGCGTAGTCAGAATTATCTATTATAAATTATATATTACGAATGTAAATATACTTTCTTCAAAATTTTAACTGATAAAATACAATTCCATTAATTTAAATATCGTCAAATATCACCATGTGTCGTTCCTGGCGCAACGGTGCCCATTATGCTTGCAACATTGCCTGTTTCATTGAATAAACCCGTCGATCCGTTGTCAGGTATGCAACTGGTTCATAATTTTGAATTGAGTATAAAATAGAACCGTGGCTCCGTTGTCAGGTATGCAACTGGTTCATAAACGCCCGGCGGCGCATCCTGCCCGAGATGATCCGTCGCGAGGGGCACGACCCGCTGCACTACACCATCTCCAGGCGCGGCCGCAAGCAGCCCGCTGGCGCGCCTTCGACGGCCAGCGGCTCCGGCGTTATGATCGCAACGTGGGACGGCGCCGAGGTAACTATCCACTTGTTGTATTATTCGTTTAGGGGTTATCCATAAAGTAATAATAAAAAACGACGGGTTGCACTCCGGGAGTGCCGGCAGAAGTGAAAACTTGAATATTAACGTTGTGCATTTTTGATATTTTGGAATGGTTAGGGAATATTTTTTGCACGAATTGCTTTAATTATCAGTATAAAAGTACTATCATGTATGTGGTAGAATACAATATTTATATATTGCGCTATCGTACACAATCATGACAATTTATATTACATTAAAAAAGTCTATCTCTCAGAAAAATCAACTTACATGAATCACGTTTAAGCACACTTAGCGACATCTATTGTAAAGAAATCAACTTACATGAATCACATTTAAGCGCACCTAGCGACATCTATTGTTTCTTCGCAATAAAGCTGCCACGTGGACGTCCTAGATAGAGACTTATTATTATAATACGATAGAATAAAATATTACTATGTTTCGTCCAATATATTGAAATTCAACTACCTTTCCAATTTTATTGTGTGTCATGTTGCGATCAGCCCACGTGTTTAACCTGACGCGGGTTTAACATGTTTTACCCATACAAAAAAAAGTGTACAACGCCACTAAAGAAGTTTTCACTTCAATAATAAATAATATAATAATGATAAATCTTTATTGTGTATGGAACAAGGTAACATGAAAATACAGGTCTTAATGCTAATGTACAGTGCCATTTGATCCTACCCTTTCAGGTGTATACACATTTATATTGTACATAGAGGAACCATTTGAATATTCCTACTTACATTCTGAATACTCTTGGATACTATAAAAACATTTTTGGCTAAGCCAATCCTTAAGTTTTTTTTTTAATTTTAATAAGTTTTAGTCCTTTGAACTTGTCTGGTAATTTATTGTAAATTTTGATGCACAAAATTAAAGTGTTTTTTAAACACAGCGACAATTTCGATTATTTATTTGATGATTCACTTTAAATAGATACTTATGTTGGTGTACAAATGTACATATATCAAGAATATACAGACAAGGCAAAGTCAACAGCTTATAGTTTCTAAAGTAAGGTCGACAGGAATCAATTTGCTTCAAACCAAATATAGCACTTATTTGTTTTTACGAAATTAATACTTACGTCACACTTATTTCGTGATTTTTTTACCCCTCCCCCGTCTTTGTCACAGTTGGTCACATTTGTGTGTCCCCCTCCCTAGTGTGACGTCACATATTTTGCATTAAGAATTATTAAATTAAAACAGCAGTTCCGAAAATCTGTTCTAACATAACAAATTAAATGACGACCTCCGTGGCCGAGTGGTTTGTACGCCGGGTTTCATGGTGTCGCCGACTCGAGAGGTCCAGGGTTCGAATCCCGGTGGGGGCAGATGTTTGTGTGATGAATACGAGCATTTGTACTCCAGTCATGGATGTTTAATATCTATTTCTATATAAATATACTTATATATGTACAGTATTCTATCCGTTACCCTAGTATCCCATAACACAAGGCTTACAGTGCTTACTTTGGGGCTAGGCTAATTGGTGTGAGTGTTGGAAATATTTATTTATTTAAAACCCATACTTAAAGGAATTCTTAATATTTTAAAGTTATTTGATCAAGGTCAAAATTATTAGATTTTAAAATGTGATGTCATAAATCTTAAGACCCCCATTGACCCCCTCCCATCTCTTGTCACACAATGTCACTCCGCCCCCTTACTCTCCTTAAACGTGTGACATACTTTATTTATGACCCCTTATCGAGTCTATGGAACGATATTTAATACTCTAGATACAACAACACGAACAAACTCGCCGAAACCTGTCCAAAGGGTACATTGGACGATCCACAGAACTCCCTAAGGTGATTGGATTGTTAAAAACAATATAAGACATCATTAAACATTGTAAGTCACCTTAAATGCATACTGTATAAGGTCTTAATTTAAACGCATGCGTCAAAGAGTTATGGCAGTTCCAGATGCAAGTTCCTTTTCATTACCGCGGTTCGTACCTGCTATACTGCTAACAGCGCATTCAGAATTGCGCGTAGGGTCTAAGAAATAAGTTCTATATTGTTCCGCATATAGCAATAAGTCTTAAAATTTGACGAGTTTGCATTTCGAACTATCATAACTCTTAGACGCATGCGTTTTAATTAAGACCTTTTACAGTACATTCAATGTTTAAATGATGCCTTATATTAGTTTTGACTACGCGATCATTTCACGGAGCGCCATGCACCATCCAATGTATCACTTGGACAGGTTTTGGGCACGATTTTGTTCGTGTTGGTGTATCTGGGGTTTGATGTTGTTGTAAAACCCCATTATTCTCCAGGGCGAAGGCGAGGTCGAGGGTGAGGTCGAAGGCGTAGTCGGCGGTTCCCACGAGTACACCGAAGGGCTTCTAGTATACCGCAGCGACGCCGACGGAGACGACGCGGCCGACGGCGAAGAAGGATATTCCTCCAGCGCAGTTAGTGAGGAAGAGGTCAAATACGACCCTTCTGTGTGGCAGTCCGTCATACGGTACGGGCCCGAAGATGGACCCCACGTGGCCGCTAGAGGGTGAGAATCAAATTCTATATGTTATCATCTTCAGCCTATTAATGTCCCAACTGCTTGGCCACAGGCCTTTCCTATGGATGGCATAGGGAGAATGTTTCTTACTGTGTGGCAGTCCGTCATACGGTATTGGCCTGAAGATGGACCCCACGTGGCCGCTAGAGGGTGAGAATAAACAACTATATGTGATCTTCAGCCTATAAAGACCCCACTGCTGGGGCACAGGCCTTCCCTATGGATGGCATAGGGAGAATGTTCCTTTACTGTGTGGCAGTCTGTCATACGCAACGGGCCCGAAGATGGACCCCACGTAGCTGCTGGAGGGTGAGAATAAATGTCTCTCTCTCTTCAGCCTATCAATGTCCCCACTGCTGGGGCACAGCCATTCCTTAAGGTGGCATAGGGAGAATGTTCCAGGGCCCCCGCATTGGTGGGTGCTAACGATTGCCAGTGCAGCTGAGACCGACGGCTTAACGTGCCTTACCAAGCACGGAGTATAAGTTTTTGATCGCCCATCCCAGAACTTCCATGATCTCAGACTCGATTTTAAACATTTATTCTACAAATAATTATCGCAATTTTACCTTGTAATGAGAGAAGAGGGAAATCTGTTTTTGGTTATTAAAACATTAAGATAACATTTAAAAAAAATCTCTGAGTCAGTTCACTGGGTTTTACAATGACGGTTTTCTGGAATGACGGCACTAGGTGGCAGCACTGAGGCGAAAGGTCTACTCGTCCGTCAAGTCGCGTTTACAGTCATAGTCTATGTCTATCAATTTAATTGCTCGTTCACACCGAAAATTTTATACAAAAGACCTCATACCACAGTGGCACCAACTGGTGACGTATTTTTTCGTAAATAACCACATTGATATTGTGCTTAACTTGTGGCATTGTGCCTCTAAACTCTGATCCCTCTATTAATAAACGAAGAACAAGCTTGGATTAGTTATTCCAAGTTTTGTCTCTGTTCACTGAATAGGGTATTTGACAGTATTAAAAATAAAGTGCCAATCGTTAGTATCGGTGTTTAGATGGATATTGGCAGGGGTTCTTACTATTATTACAAAAAAAAATATTCATAATTTACTAAAAACCCTCGAAAAAGATATTAGTTTTCTTATCTATTGTCACGTGACCCAAAACACTAGGGATTGGCGGAGCCTAAAATGACGTCACACGCAAGTTAACTTCCGGTTAAAGTGACACTACATTGTATCGTTTGACGTTTTAATAACAGTCGTGTGACGTCACACACTAGTAAGACGCCATATTGTCCAGAGAAACGTTTTCGCGGCAACTTGAAAATGGAGTTTTTGATTTGGTTATTTTTACTGAAATACACAACAGAACGATGAATATCTACTTTTTACGGACTCCATAAACATTAGCTAATAACGTGAAATCGTTATATAAAACTTGTCAAATACCCTATTACAAGTGGCACTTGAGTGATATCAACGAAACACGGCGTAACTAGTCTTAAGTTTATTCCTCGTTTATTAATAAGGGGGTAAACGAATAACTAATTATAAATTTTTCCCCGTGAAGTTGTGTCAACATAGTATTATTTCTTTGTCTACAGGACTGCAGCAGTAGTGACGGTGCGTACATCCAAAATTAACAGGGGTTTAGGGGAGGGATGAAGGGACATTGAACAGCTCGCAACCAGCAATGGTGGCTATATGAACTAGGCCACACATAGAGGAAGGACTAAACAACTACACCGATGAAATTCACCATTCTCTAGAAAAAATCATGCGGCCAATCCATCTATTTATTTATTTACTCTATTGTCATTTTACAACAAATGGCGGACTTAATGCCACATGGCATTCTCTACCAGTCAACCATCGGGCTAAGCAGAGACATTATGCGGTCTTTACGCGTAGTACCCACTTCTACACTTCTTAAGCAACGACTACAGACAAGGAACCCTGCGCTGTAGCTATTTAGATTATTCGTTTGTTTGCTATTACCTATACTTCTAACATCGAAAAGTGTTCTACAAAACGGTTTCCCAACCGTGAATCTGTAACTTTTTGAAACTTGTTTTATTTTTTGTAAAAACACTGGAATTTTACCTTTTCTCCTTTTTGGTGTATTAAGAAATAGTCACCGCACGATCGCTACTACTCTCTTTACTTGAAAGCTCAGTACTTTTTCTATTTTAACGGACCATCGACAGTCTCTAGGTAAGGTATCAATCAATCAATGATAGGCAGGTATTATCATCATCATCATCAGCCTGTTAATGTCCCTACTGCTGGGGCACAGGCCTACCCAATGGCCATCCATCGCGTGAAGGGTCATGGCCCCATCTTCCTATTCCATAATAGGGAGATGGGGCCATGACCCTTCACGCGGGCCTAGTGCGGATTGGTGGGTGCTAACGACTGCAGATGCAGCCGGGACCAACGGCTTAACGTGCCTACCGAAGCACGGAGGAACTCGAGATAGAAGATTTTTGGTCACCAATCCAATGAATGACCACTGCGAAAGTTGCTTAACTTCAATGATCGCAGCCGGACGCGCTTACCACCTTCGCTATCGTATCGCAAGTATTATGGTGCACGAATAATCGACGGTAAAGCGTGCTACTACCATAATATCCACGTAATAACTAATAAGTAATTTAATCAGTGCATTACGCGAGTGATATCAATGCTGGCTTTCTTCAAACTTTCGCTTTATATATATTTGTTCTCAAAATTTTCTGAACATACTTCATTCGGCTGCGAAGTTAACACAAGTCGCTGCACATTGAACGCAATGTAAGTAGTTCTAGGGGCTCTGTAACTAGAGAATTTCACTTAACCACAGATTACTTAATGGTAACTACGTAATAGATAAATCGTTTCCTACAAAAAATCGTATATCTACGCGATGAAGTAGGCTATTTACTTTACCGCGTCGGCGACCGCTGCGTGCCAAATTATGCCTTATACGCTCGACTATAGAGTTGTTACCGATTCGCAGCCTCGCGGCATCGCTGTAACCGTAGGTAAAAATATTGTTCACACACAATTGTTTAAGTTTTGTAATGTAAATTAAAGTGAATCATAACATACAGTAAATGGAGTGACGGAGGCCTGACTATAGATAGATACATAGTTTAAACGCGAAAAGGTGAACATATATTTATAATTTTTAAACATGTAACTCGCTCGATGTTTAAATCTAAAGAAATTATAACTAGAAAAATATTGACGCGGACCAGGCAGCACAATGCGAAGAGATGGCGCTGCCTTGCAACTTAAGAAAGGCTATAAAGGCACGGCCATCAGGGCCGCGGTAGCATAATGATCAGTGCATTCGCCCGGATAGCGAAGGGTGCGGGTTCGAGTCTCGCCTGCTGCCTGGTCCGCGTGTTTTTTTTTCTAGTAACATTTTCTTTAGATTTAAACATCGAGCAGTTACATGCTTAAAAAATTATAACTATAATTGCTATTTCTTCTTTAAAATGTTAAATACTTGTAAAGGTATTCATTTGACATTGCGGGTTGTCTACAATGCGAAGAGATGGCGCTGCCTTGCAGCTTAAGAAAGGCTAGAAAGAATTCGACATGGCCATCAGGACCGTGGTAGCATAATGCTCGGTGCATTCGCCAAAATAGCGAAGGGTGCGGGTTCGACTTCCGTCTGCTGCCTGGTCCGCGTGTTTTTTTTTAGTACATATTTTGATTAGATATATTTATAGTCTGTTGGTTATTTTGATACAGGTGGTGCCAGCTAGCGGAGGCGGTAACGCGGGCGAGGGGGAGCGAGACAAGTTCAAATGTCTGTATCTACTCGTGGAGACCGCCGTCGCCGTGCGGCAACGGGAGAAGGAGGCCGAGCAGCTGCCCGTCTAGTGAGGTACATAATGCTAGCTGTCCCTTATTAGCTAATTAGAGATATAAACAAGGAGTCCCACGGATTTGTCACATGGAGGGAAAGTATATTAAATATTGGAGATAAGATATTTTAGTGTAAGAAGACACCATTTTTTATTTCTAATAATAAGTAGAATTGCATTCACAGATTTTTTTAAATCTCCTGCTTCAACTGATAATCAAAGTCATGAAATGTCAAAGAAAAAATTATAACAATCCAGCAGGGCAATTATTTTTAACTTACATTATATTTCAATATTTATATCATTTTTTTCTGGCCCATGCTGTCATACCCATATTTATTAATGATCCACCAAGAAATACGACATTTATTTGTATTATCTTGTTTCTATAAGGACTTTTTCTTATGAATGAAACTGCTACATTATATTGTTTTTATTCCAACAGGGACATTATTTGAAGGCATCTCTTCGCGTCTCCGCAACTGATCAGAGAATACGTATGTACGTTCTCCTGATTACAAATACTATTAAAAGTTCGCCAATATAGGCTCCTAAAGCATTAATAATGTACGTTATGGTATAGATCCCATCCACAATGCGACAAGGGTCACAGTGAACACAAACTCTGTATTACATTTCCAACCTCAATGCTCTGTTTTATAGTTCCAACTTGATTGCAAATATTTGCCATTTTGCGAGACAGCAAGTGCTATTGTCAGTAGGTACTCGACGCAAAATGTGGAAGTGAAACTAGATGTCTTTTTACATTATTTGTATTTTGACAGTTTTCAAGGGACATTTATGACGTCAAATGTACACTCATTTAAATAAGGCGTATACAGTTTCGACATGATGCTAGCCTTAATCTGATAAGATAAGCTCAACTGACAACCGTTCTCAAAGACGTTTAAATTGAATGCTTGTGAAAGTGTTGTGTTAATAAAATTTCATTGGAAAGAAAGTGACAACGTCAACTTTGAGTGTGTAACTCTCAAAACTCAATTCTGATGAAATGCATAAAATAAGCGGCCTTTTGTGGGTTTTCCTATAGGTAAAAAGAAATAGAAGTAGGGATATTTTTTACCAGTCACCAGCATACATTTTGACCCTTGTCGGATTATTTAAAATATGACTGTAACGATGTTCAATTCCTTACGATATCATATAGTACAATGTAAAATCGACACTTCCCATTGTACTATATTAGAAGTATACTATTATTATATGACATTTACGAAGGTTTTATATATTAATATAAAAAAAAACTTATAATATCACAAGAATAAATAGCTTTTTGTTTGCTAATCTTTGTACAAGGCAAAGTAAGTTTCATTTTATTTATAATATTAGTGATAGTATGCTCTATAATACTTTGTATGTAATGAGTATGAAAGTACCGTTTTAAAGCCAGCAATAATATATTAATATAAAACAAGAATTGTGCCTAAAATAAAATCATTATTTTTCAATAATAACAGATTTGAATAACATGTACATTGTAAGATTTTAAAAATGTCTTCATTACCTATTCTAGAGATGTATCGATTTAAAAACAATCATAATTCTGCATTAAAATAAAATTAAATGGAGCTTATTAACTTTTTTAGTTTGAGATTTGCCTTATATTATTTATCTTTATAATAATACAGATATTATAGTAATTTATGTTATTAATTCCGTAATTGTTAATATGTACCTTGTTTAATAAACAATTAGTAGTAACATAAATTTCTATAATGTTAGTGCCCATGAAAGTTTTAAACAATACAGATATTGTATAATATGCATTCATCCATTTAATCGTTACATCTCTAATTAATATTAATGGTAGTTTAAATAATTGCTGATTTTTTAAAACAAACCTTCAAGATTTTCAGACCCTGATTCCATTTTTATATGAAAACTTATTGATCTAGTTATGTTATTACTATACGCAAATGCGTTTTAGGAACACACCCATTAAATAGGTCTAGTCCTTTATTACGGCACCATTAAAAATTTCTTCAAACCTGGTAGAGTTGTGATTTAAATTCAAATATTTAGATAAGTTATGTACATACCTACTTATAATTGTACTAAATTTATCACAATTTATAACTCTGATATTTCGCTATTGGAACTCACCATGTAATATGTTTTACCCTTATAATCTCATTCAATTATAATGGCTCCTCTACACAATGGCCCATGATGGGCGTGTAAAGACACGCATGATTGTGTGGAGGGAATGATTGTCCATGAGTGGCCAGGATGCGCGCCGATGATTGTGCGCATGTCCACACGATCGGCGATCACTCAGTTCACCCTCTGACGCTGACCTCTTCGCCACTTCCTGACCAGACTTCGAAGTTGTTACAGTAGTAATATTTATTGCCTATTTTCACTAAGGGCGTAATTACAATGTCGGAACCAGAGTGGATTAATGATGAAACATTCAAATTTATCGAATTATATAAACAGTACTTATACAAATAAAACTTTTCACCACTTTTACTGTAATACATTTAAATAATATAGAGACTAAATAAATAATTAGGGACAGCTGCCAGCAGTTCGACATCCATCTCGAAAGATGACAATTATCAAATGTATAAACGCCGATGCTGAGGTCAGCTACCCAATGATGGTATCGGTCATGGTCAATCCTGTGATCGCTCATCAATGCCTATGGTGCAGAGGAGCCATAGAAGGTGACATGAAAGTAGCGACTAGGAGCGAATAATCATATAACTCTTAAGTTATGCGTATGGTATGAGTTGAGTACCTATACCCATTTTGTTTTACTTTTTGCATCGACTTTTTTTATAGTTTGTTGTAATTCTTGTTATTATATTGACAAATTTAATTTCCTGGCCACGACTTTTCGATTGGCGATAGGCTAGGCTTTACGCTAGCGCCGTCACTGTGGGCTTCGCTTTGTGTGTGTACTTGATCCTTGATCTTCCTATGCAATAGGGATGAATAACTTGTTTTCTGGCAGAATATCAAAGAGAATTGGATAAGCATTTTTTCCTTATTCACATAATCAAAACTTAATAGATTATATTAAATTGAAATGTCGCATGACGTCACGCCTTGGTACAATTTTTACTTAGAAGTGGCGTCTTGTATAAATAATTATTTTATAAGACTCGAAACTTCACCCGTTAAATGCAATATATACTAGTACAAATCTACCTACGCGCCGATCAGTACGGCAGCGGCGCAATTTTGTAAAAGGGCTCTTAACACTATAATTCATTACTTTATACATATTGACGAATTGTTTCTTACATCTTTACAGTATTGCTGCCCTTTTATAAAATCTTAAAGCTATTATAATACCCTTGTCAGAGCGAGACATTACTCGTTTTTGACTCGTTTAACAGTTACTCTAATCAAATTGAGACTCTAAAACTATTTGCAACATAATGTGTTCACCGATAGACATAATTAAATATACTGACACTTGATTGTTTACTAAACAACTGTTCAATGCAACAGTGCCTAAATTAGGTGAAACAATTTTAGAGCAGGTAATGTTACGATTTGAGAATAAACTCGTATACACACTGTATTCATTGCAGCATATTTACCCAGTAGGAGATACAGTTATAGATATTTATTATTATAATATTTAACACATAAATATATAGTATTTATTGATATATTTAAGAACAGTTCAGAATGGAGAAATCGTTTATTCTGATCCTTATTTTAGGTTCAGTTATGTGAAGAATTTTAAATTGGACTATATTATATATTCAAGTGTATTTTACCTCACGATGCTTCGAAGAAACATACGTTTTTTTTTTCAATAATAATAACAAATTTTTAATTTTACTCTCAATATACAATAAATAATAAACTAAAAAGTTAACAAATTAGTCCTCAAGTAGTCATGTTAATCGCCTATCGATGTAAGCATTATTATTTCACGCGTAGTCTGCTTAATGGCATAATATTAAAAGCAAAATCATACAGCATTAAAACTAATTACGAAAACTATATCACTATTATACTTTATACACTTATTATATATCCACATTTATATAGGTAAAAACATTTCAGTGATAGTATGTAGAGGTTGTGTATCAAAATCAAATAAATAACATTGTTTATATTTATATACATTATGATTATAGAATTATGACTGGATTAATATGTTGAACTGAGCATCAAGTGGAAACTGCTATATTAATTAGTATTATGTTAGTCGTCTGTAAATATTAGGAACTATATACATCGGTAGTATATAGAACATGTTTATAGGTATAGATTTTAAAATTATGGATTTCGTGTGACATGAATGAATACTTATATTCCTTTTACGAGACACTAAATCGAAGAAGCTTCTTATATTTTCAAGCAACAACCCTAATGATTTTATCACAATATGTATTGTCAAATTCAATTTTTAATAACGTGATAGAAGAAAGAGGAAAAGGACAGAATCAAATGTTGTCTTACTTTAATAATTTACAAGGTAAATTTGATAGTAGCAAAGCAAGCGAGACTTAACAATTTAAAGTGAATTTGGTCTATTGACATTGTTTACAACGTAGACATACATCTGCAGTTCACAATTCATACTTATTTTTGTGTTAAATTTAATATACTACTAAACGGACAGAGCTAAAATATCAATTAGTTGCTTGAAAATTACCCACATTTCAAGTACCTAGCCAAGGTTATTGTAACCACCATGGCAATTTATATTCTTTTGTTTTATTCGTTTAATAATAAAACTACTAAATTAAAACCCTGTCTTCTTTGTAAGCGTAAATCTCTTAGAGATACAAACTTAATCATGCAGTAATTTAATACTCCAATAAAACCAAATTTCAATAGGGAAGATGCATATATAATATTTATGAAAATTTTATGATTAAAATGTTAAAAAAATATAAAAGAAATGCCACTGCAACGTTTTTATTTTACATAATGTTGTTTTTTAACAATTATTACGAATTAAAAATACTTGAAACGGAACGTATTTTAAAACACCAATCAGCGTTTAGTGACGTCACTCCTGTT